TCCTCCTCGTTGTGGAACGAGCCGGGGCTGTCGCTGGTGTAGGCGCTGGACGTGCCCCCGGGGCTGGTCTGGTCTGCAGCCGTGCCGGGCGCCGGGGCGGGCGCCGGGGCTGGGGCTGCACCGCCGGCACCAGTCCCGGCGCCGGGCGGCTGCGGCGGGCGCGGCGCCGCCTCAGAGAATTTGGCCATTTTCCGGCTGCCGTTGCCGCCGGTGTCCTTGGCGGCGCCGTCCCAGAGGCGTTTGACCACGAAGGTGCACTGCACGCCGTCGGGCTCACCCTGCTCCGTCTTGACCCGTGACACCAAGGGCAGCGCGGCCGCCCAGCCCTGCGCCGCCGACGTCTGGGCCACTGGGCTCTGCGGCTCTGAGCCCGGCGTGTCGTCGCCGTGCAGGCCCTGCGAGTCGCAGCTGGGCGAGCTGACCTTGAGGAAGAACTCGGTGCCTTTCTCCATGATCTCCTGGATCTGCAGGAAGCCGGCCGTGTACATGAGCAGGAACTGGTCGCCCACATTCATGCTGAGGCGGCCGGTGTAGCAGAAGCTGAGGATCTGCTGGAAGGACTGGGGCTGCACGGCCGCCGGCAGCTCCACCACAGCGCTCTTGGAGCTGTGGAACAGGTCTCGGAAGTAGGAGCTGCTGGCAGCCAGCACGGCCCGGTGGGCTTTGAAAGCGTGGCCCTTGACCACCACGGAGACGTCGCAGAAGAGCCCCTGCAGGCGCTGCTCGTTCAGGCACTCCAGGATGCTGTTGCCGAAATTGGGGATCTCCATCTGCAGCGTCTGTGCCATGGCGGGGGCCGGGCGGGGGCTGCGGGGGCAATGGGGGGCAGGGACAGGGGACATTGGGGTGTGGGGACAGGGAATGGGGGGGGTATATCAGGGGACAGGGGACATTGGAGTGTGGGGGGACAGGGGCACAGGACATGGGGACATGTGGCAATAGAGGACAGGGGATGGGGTGGATATGGGGGGAGAGGGGACATTGGGGTATGGGGACAGGGGTACAGGATGTGGGGGACACATGGGAACAGGGAATGGGGACAGAGAATTGGTTAACACAAGGAACCGGGGGGACACGAAAGAACAGGGACAGAGGAACAGGGCAGGGACACGAGGAGGGACAGAGGAAGGACAGGAGTCAAACAAAGTTCCCAGCCCGTGGTCACCCCCAAATCCTCCCCCTTAACCCCTCTCAGAACCCCCCCAGGAGAGGGGGTCCCTGCCAACCCAAGGGGGTTCTGAGGGGTCCACAGCCCTGGGACATTTTGGGGGGGGCTGGGACCCCCGGGGGGGTGGTAAAGAACAAGTGGGCCGCAGGGTTTGGGGGGAAACACCCCCAAATTGGGGGATCAGGGGCTTAGGGCGGCATGGGGGGGGGGGGGGGACCCTTCCAGCCCTCAGAAGGGAAATGGCGGGGGATCCCCCAGTCCGGGGAGCCCCAAATTCTGGGGGGGTGGCGGTGAATCCCCCAGCTGGGGGAGGGAGAGGAGCAGAGAGACTCCAAAACACGGGGAGGGGGCATCAAAAGGGACCCCACTCCCTGGGCTGGGGACAGAGGAGACCCCCAGCCTCCCGCAGAGGAGGGGACAGGACCCCCGAGTCCTCCGAGGTCACAACGGAGGGAACCAAATTTTTTTTCTGGGGGGGGGGTCCTTAAACCCCCAACCCAGGGGGGTCAGCAGCAGAGGGACCCCAATCCCCGCAGGGAGGGGGCACGGACACAGCAGACCCCCCATTCCCGGGAGCGGCAGCGGCGGCATCCCGGGAGAACCGGGGGATCCCCAGCGCGGGAGGCGCCGCAGGCCCGGGGGAACCGGCGGGGGT